ATCTAGATTGAAAAACGCGTAGGTCCAGTTGCTTTCTAATATTGGAAGCAAGGGCATTACAGATAGCCGCAGAAGCGCATCTGAAAACGTACAATTGCAACGTAATTTTCCTGATTGTACTACACAAAGATAAGTACATGCTACATTTACATACGTTTGTATGCATTATGAATGTATAATTTGCCCCGTATTGATAATTTAGGCACTATTAGTAGACATTTGGTGAGTCTGTGAAGGCCAAAGCTAAGTTCAGAATGTGTGGTGGTGCTGTTTTTATTCGTGCGTATGAAAAAATAATGACATAAATTAAATACCTATACATCACAACTATTGTGTTTAGTGTACCCGTGTTGATATTGCAATTCTGTAGAGCATGTTAAACATTCGTAATTTTTTACAGTTACATATTTTAACACATGAAAGCGAAACGAAATTTGTTCAAAGCCATAATTTTTTCATCTATAAATGACAACAGAAGCAACATCCGTGTGAGAATGATCAAAAGTATGAACTCACCCGGAGTTGCTGTGTAGTCGAGTGCTTGTCAGCTCGCTTTTAATTTTTGTTAAAAACCTCCGGGTCCTCCAGGATTGCTCGAGAGCTGGGTGATTTTTTTATCGGCAGGAAATTTCCCCCCCCTCCAACCTCAGCTTTATGGTTTTATGGCTTTTTTGGTTGGTAATGTGGGTAATCAGATGGGAAACAACAATTCGGGACTGACTTTTCTCCGAATGAAAAGTGCATATGAACAAAACCCTCAGTCACGTTGTTGATGCAAGTGTTCCACTTGTCACATAGTTGATGTAACTTTCAGCGAGTTGATTTGAAATTGGCTCCTGATGTACAGCAATTATAGCGCGTTTGCAAAATGAAACGGATATGATCACATGTTTTACAGCATAAGCATTCGGGACACATGGTACATATATCCTGTTCAATAGCGCCAATTTTATTGTTTGGTAACTATATTTTCAGTCTGCTGTGTCAAATATTTATTCAGAAGAACCGTTGTGTGTAATTTTAGCTTCACATAGAACACGAGTAAACATGTTTGTAGTGCACCATTTTAAGCTGTTGGGTGGAGAAGCGATTTAAGGAGAAAATAACAATAAATGAAACTCAGTATTAGTAGCGATTCCAAAATCATAGTGTGCACTTCACAGTTGTTCTACATGTGTAAATGTTTGTTTTTGTTATCAGCTTACCAAAAACGTGCACACGTTTTGTTGGTTTCAGGCTTAACACCACAATATGGTTTGGGGGTTACAAAGGAAATGGAGACTCTCTTTCCAGTTGTTATCGTTATTTGCAAAATGCGTACACATACCCTGATAACAAACAAGAAACGGCACATGCTGAGGCTCCGATACTCAAGTTATTTCCTATTTTATGATTAAACTAGAAAATGATACAACTGGACAACCAGAAAGAAAGCAATCGATTACACTTACCTATGAAAAAAGACACGTTCTATATGATCTTGTTTTGCATGTAATATATTGCAATATATTTCGATTTAAAGCTTTCGTGACTGCAGGGATTCATCTTCTTGGTTCTTTCGGTAAAGTCACGTAAAAGGGAAATAATAAAATAATAAAAATAAAACATAATAAAATCATTCTCACGACGTTTCGGCCACAACCCAAGCAACTTCCCCCTCCAACCCAGCTTAAATATACGCTGCCAAGCCTGGTGGTGTTCATTCAGACACTGTCTTTCCGACAGACCTGTTCTTCACTTGAGGACGGCTGCTTGCGTTGTGGCCGAAACGTCGTGAGAATTATTTTCTGATGTTTTATTTTTATTATTTTATTATTTCCTTCTACGTGACTTTACCGAAAGAACCAAGAAAATATATTGCAAAATATACTTTTGAGCAAAAATTTAGACGAACATATCTTCTTCGGTAGCGCAAGCACAGCTTGGTGATCATTTGCCTCCTGACTTGTTGGCTCCTCATCTGGAATACTGGCGACCTGGTCAAAAATGCACTTACACAACTGCAACTTGTTTAGAAGAATTGCCCCCAAACTTGTTATAGATTGCCCCCTACCAGGAGACGTATGTGCACTGCTGCACACGTCTAATGAGAAAATGATGGACTGAGCGCACAATGAATCAAGATCTTTCTTTTGACCCCTTGCAAACAGTATGAGATTTAAACAGCAATTCTCAGTTGTATTAAACTGTGGCAGCTTGACATCTTGTCAATACGTGGCTGTACAGCCCGTTTATATGCTGTCACACTTCTTAGCGGACAGCCTGCAGCTTAAAAAGTAATGTAAAAATCCTTTTGTCATATAGTATAAATAGCAGCTCACAATATGCTGTGTAAGGACATATGACCAGCAAAGCTGCTGTCAAATGTCAGATATTTAGGACAACCCAATATTTTCTTTTTTCAAAAGAGACCATACTGGATAAATTGACCACACCTAACATTGGGTTAGGCTTGAAACACGCCCATTACGTCTCTCCCACGGTGAAGACAGATGGTATATGATCGTCCAGAAACCATTTGGTCATGTTACACCATAAATTCTAGAAAATGAATTCAGTAGCTGAAGCACGAGAAGGTTAATGTCTCAAAAAGACACCATAAAACAGTTTCAACTATAGTGATTAGATTGTAGAGCAATTACTTATTTATACGTTTAACCCCTTTTTCAACACCACAGGCACTGGCACGTACTAATTTAAGAAGTTAAAATATAGGCTACTGAAGAGCAAAAATATATCTTGTGAGCAGAATCATTAAGGTTAACATCCCGATACCCCACTTTTAAAATTGCTGCCCTGTTGAATGTTCCTTCGATTTTTTTCCCAATTCATTCACTGGGAAAATGCGGCAGATGATACGAAAGAGATGCTGTCATATCATGAAAACAGGTTTTTATTCAGAGCATCCTTTTACATCGAGCATGGCCGCAGAATCTGAATTTTTTTTATCCTGGAGAAATCCGAAATCATTGCCGACAATGTCCACGCAGCTTAATGGGGTAGCTACGTGTAAATACGAGCGAAAATCGGCATGTGATATTATCACACACAAGACAGCTACTGGGAGTTGTGAATTGCCACGGTGCAAATCAATGGTATAATTTTGTGGGCGTATTGTGAGGCGCTTTATTACGTTCGCCCAAACCCGAATGGTCAGTTTAATATTTCCTCAGCAGGATGGTGAAGCTTTACGATCCAGTGCCTATCACACAACGGATGAGTCAGGATCAGGGTTCAATGAATTTTGTGTTTCATAAATACGTCAGCTCGGAAGGTAAGGTGTGCGTTGGAATGACAAGAAGGTGCAGCCCTTTTGTAGATCAGGCATATGAAACGATCGCACACACAAACGGCTCTCTCTCTCTTCAACATCTTGCAAAATTGTCACACGCAAAAAATGATTCCCATACGATGCCATAAAAATGCACACTGAATGCAAACGGGAATATACACAAAAGGTATTTACTGTAAATAAATTAAAATGGTTATTACTCTGTCGAAACCAAAGATCTCCACGAGGCATTAACAGCACAGAAAACACAAGGTTACTCATATAGTCATATACTACAAGCATTGGTAAGTATTCATGGTAACAAATCTTATGAAAAGGCAGCATGTAATGGTAAAGCATGCCACTAAAAGCACATTGTGTGCTCAACACTTAATTTGATAGTTAGAAATGCAAATAAATAGTTATATTTTATACATTGTGCCACATTTAATGTTTCTTAAATTAACGCCACATCGATCACGCATACTGTTAGCAAACGTCCTTCTGTTGCTTAAAATAACATATATTTTTCTATACATGCCAACTCTCATCGAAGGATTACCACAAGCATATATTAGAATATACTGTGCTTTACAAAACCCATGAGAAATGTATACAGGCTCAATGCTGAAGCATTCAAAAACTTTAACTTATGTTCATTACATACCGCATACAATATTTTGGTTCACAAATCTTTATAACATATACATGTCTGAAACACCACTGATGGTAACGTGAACAAGCGCAAGGCTGGGGCTGATGACTTCCTCTACAGAGAGCTTTGACAGAAGCATTTTTCCACCAATTCATTTCTTGCATTACTAAGGCCCTTATATGTATGTGTACATGGTAAAACTTCTCTTATTCCCGCGAGGTTATTACCTGGCACTCCTATTATCCACGAGAGATGTAGACTCCACAAAAACTCCTCTTATATGTGACCCCATTACAGGTACTGTATTGCTATATTCCGAAATTATCCGCAGATTTTCACATCCTGAATTTTGGAAAGGTTTCTTGTTCGCAGATCATACGCAGATAAGAGGAGTCACGCGGCAAATTCATTCCATTGCCTGTGGGTTTTTAGTTAAAAAATGCAAATAAGTATAATAAATGTTTGGATAACGTTGCGGAAAATCCGATCTGCAATATTCATCCCCGACGTCAACGTGAATGAAAGGAGTTCTACTGTACTACTTTGCAAACTTCTCATTCCTAACAGCTCATCCTACAAGCGTTCGAAAAAGCCGTAGGCTGTCTGTAACTATTTGGTTACAATTTAGTAAAAGTTTTATGGATATAAAACTCTAGGGACTTCAGTAACCAATTTTATGTATTGTTGTTCAAAGCGATTTAATGATTTGAGGGATAACTGGATAAAACTAGACACTTTAGGGAATATCAACTAATAATTTCAAAAAACCACAGGATCCAAAGAAATGTTTAAAAAAATTCTGGCAATACCAGTCATTACCCTTAATCTAGAGTGCACGTACTCTCAGCCACAACGCAAGGTTGAGACTCCACATACTCCTGTTGAAAGTCCACGTTAAAGCGCAGCATGCAGCACTGGGCACTCTCCCTCTCTCTCTTTGGTCTACCGAGCGACGGCAGTTATGATGGAGCAGTGTCGGAGGACGTGAAGCGGACCAGGGGGGGTTGCTCAGACAACGCACTGATAAAGGGACAAACCGTGGCATATTGGTCTGAGATTGGAGTTTATTTGCTGTTAGCTGCTCACGTAGCTGTTTGCTTCCCTGGCGTGAAGGCCTAGCACGACGTGAGTGCTGTGGTTTCCTGCGACGCACGCACCAAAGACAAGGCAAAGAGTTACACGCTAAGAAATGCTATCAATAACGGTAAATATTACCCAACTTATGACATTTAAATCTATTGTCATTTTTGAAATGCCACAGGATTAACGGCCGTGAAGTTTATAGTTTTTTTTTATGAGGAGGACAAGGTGGGAGGAAAAAGGACAGAGGGAATTGGCAGCAGAATTCAGCGGAGCAGGGAAGGTTGAAAGGCGCGTCAATATTTCAGAGTCGGTATATTAATCTCTGCACGACCCAGGGGGGTCAGCACAAAGTTCACGCAATTAGAGACACTATCTTGTGAATGAGCGAGTGTTCCGAGGTCGCGTGCTTGTGCGTACCTAGTGTCTGTGAGTCCAAATCATCGTCAATGAACTCCTCCTGGTTGTGCAGTGCCTCGTTTTGGATAACGGTGGCCACCTCCCCTGGCGTGGCCACATCCTGCTCCTTCTCGTTGTGCATTTGCGCATAGACGTTTCCTCCGACCAGTTTCCTGCGGGGTTGAGTGGCAACTTCACTCCAAGTAATTTACAAAGAATTATAACGCTGCAGGTGTGGGGCTGAGGACAGTGATGGTGCAGTGGTTAAACACACTGTGCTGTGAACCTGAGCACCTTGAGTTCCATTCCTAGCCAAGGCTAACATCAGTGGCAAGTGATACAGGAACAGATCCTGGTCCTTTCCCACTTCAGCAACCCACACTGACTAGCATGGCAAAATATAATCAAACAAACCCCATGGTTAACACAGAGAGTGGGAAGGGCCTCGTCTAGCAGTGAATTAATTATTGTCACAGCATAACAAATTTACAACCCTTTGGCAACCCACTGCTGGATGAAGGCCTCTCTACGCCATATGTTGTTTGGTCATTCTTCACGATGCTGGTCAGGGTGTGTTGGGGTGGAGAGCCCAGAACCGGCTCAGCTATCATTCGCCACTGATGCGAGCCCTTGGTGGAAATAATATTTGGTGTGCTAACCGCTGCACCGCCATTCCACCACAGATACTGTAATGAGGGATTTTTTCCCCATTAACTTGCAGGTTACGGTAAATATTGTAAAAATGGTCAAAAACATGCAAAACCAAAACAACACATCAAGATGAACAATCAATGGTGCCTTGTCCAAACGTTTCACACTGTGGCTCTGTTTATCGCCTTAGTTGGCGATTTAGTGGCAGCAGGTATCTTACTTGGCTGTTATATGGATCACGAAGGCAACTTTATTATTGGAATGGGAAAGTAATTTAGTGCTTGGACTTAAACCAACTGCTCCCTGCCCCCACCAACCCGTCCTTCTTCCCCGGTATCTTTATTGCCCTCTTACTACATTCAACTCACCCAGTTCTTGTTATTTTTGGGAGGGAGGGAAAAGTGGATACAAACACACACACACACAGGGTGATCCTTGTATAGACCCCCCCACTTAAATAACATGTAGACATTATAGAGATAAAACACATACATGAATGCCTCTTCATATTTCCTATCAATTTCAATAATACACTTCTTAAAATGTATAACTCTCTGCTCTGTACGATATAGAGCCACCACTTTCATCGTATTTGATGACCTGTTGAGAAGGGGTCCATTAGAAACCAGTTGGGTATCTATAAATAGATCACCCTGGACAATACATAAAATGTGAGGACATGACCAAGGTTGCCGTAAAATAAAAGATATGAACATAAATGACCCATTTGTTTGGATCATTCATTTCCCTTAAGAGGAGGTCTTTACATGGTGGCAAACAATAAAGATGTAATTTATTTATCACAGAATATCTCCGTCACTGTCTAATGCCAGGCTGCCAGGCAAGGCAGTCACACATATCAGGAAACATGCAAAAAGTCTGCATCATGTATTCAAATAAAATAATGATCTTAACCAAGGAAAGTCTCAATATTCACTGGAGTCGTAATATTCTCTTTGAGAAAGTTTCGACATTGTATTTTGTGACCAATGAATGTTTAACAAGTGTTTTGCGTGTGACAGGAAATTGGAGAAACCTCAAGGACATGAGGGAATAACATTTAAGATTCTGCACTGACAGTTTCATGAACCCACTCGCTGTGCTCCCACCTTCTGACCGCCTCACAGCCTGGCAGGTTAAGTATTCCTACCTTTAAAGTGTTTCTATTACAGGTGCGAGCGACCGTGCCTGACACTACAGCTCAGCTATAGGGGAATTCCTCTGGGCTAAATCAGTTTTTTTCTCAACTCCAGTCCTCACGAGCCCTCCCCCCCACCCCCATGGTGCATGCAGTTGTTCATTGGCTTCATTTGTGTGTGAATATAAAATATAATCAAGTAAAAGGCAGAGCCATGGAAGATTGCATGGACTGGAGTTGAAAAGTTATTGAGAAAAAATGGTAACAAAGGGAATCAATTATGGCTTGATAACCACTTATCAGGTTCAAATCAGTTGTTCCATATTATTTCATTGCCAATGTAAAACACTGACCATGAAGGGTTTGGAGGCAAAAAATTTACGTTTCCTTATATATTAAAACAAATGCAAAGTAGTTACTTATATTGTCATATACCAAACATACAACTTGTTCATTTATAATATGTAAAAAAACAGCCTTTTGTAAATCATAATAAGCAGCCACTTAGCAAGCTGTCAGCCACTTAGCATGTGACTCATCTTACAGGAGAGTCACATGCTAAGTGGCTGATTACTGATCTATTACATAATTGCATACATCCCCAACCCCGCCTCCGCCTGTGATCTAGAAACGTGATGGGGTTCAACAATGATGACGTCATCCTGCACTATTTAAGACCGGAAGCAGGTGGATGGCTTCACTATTCTGGCAAATCGTCCAAAGATGCTGGATGTAATGTCCAACGAATCGTCACGGTTACTCAAATTGTAAATATTGTGGATCTACTCTGCAACACACCGGTGGGCTAAAGTAGTGAACTATTTGTCTTTTGTCAACGTGACACATTTTTTACTGATTGGCCGTGTCAGGTGGTGGAGGGTTGCGACACATTTATAAATAACGCGATCTAACCCAAAAACCTTTATTATGAATAATACTGGTCGAGAAAGTCTACGTGTTAAGCCTTTGTCAATCCACAGCTGAATAAAGTGCTCCTAATGTCACGTCGACTACGGGGGTTGTTTGACCGTACATCACGCTGGTCAATGCGGGTTGGTGAAGGGGGTGGCCCAGAACTAGTTTCAGTTCTCACAAGCTACTGTCAACCACTGTGTCACTGGCTCCAACCCCCATTATTAATTATAAAAAAAAAATTTGCCGAAGGAACAATTGACAACTTGTTAATTGACAGCGTGTATGCGACTATACATTTTTTAAAAATCAAATCCATGCACGGGGCACATACCTTTTGAACCTGTAGATGATGTAGATTAAAAGGCCAAGAAAGGCCAGGCAGAGCACAAGCAGCACAAGCGTAACACCTGGCCCCGAGCCCGGCTGCTGGAAGCCTGCTACTGGGGGAAGGTAGAGCGGACATCTCAATAAGCCAGTGGGAAAAAAAAAAATTGGCATTTTAAATGTGTGCACACACTCGGCAAGAGCACCTTTGGCATACTCATGTCCCAAATCTCAAGTGACATTTTATTCAAAGTTGTATGTCCCGCATGAGTTACTTTATAGTCTGTGTGACTCACTCTCATCATCTAAAATTTTTCATCCTGAGTGGAGCTGCCATGGAAAAGTGATCAAAGATTGTTTTTTTTTTGCGGTTGTCAGTTATTTGTGACCCAAACCAGATGATAGAGGCTGCAATATTTATCACTCGTTTTTTTGTATTACGCTTTTTGCAAAACTGGCTTCAATCGCGATCCAATCACCGCGGTATGCAAGTTATACTTTTTATCAAAATATATGGATGTGCGAGTGTTGTTGGATTACTGTTTCAAGAAACATGTTATGTATGCTGTGTAAATAAAAAATAAATAAATAATGCAAACTTACCGGCAACTACTGTGATTTTTACTTCCGGATTAAGATTGAATTTCACCAAGTTTCTCTTCACAACCGACACAAGTGATTCATAGACCTATAATGCAAACATCACATTTCCAGGAATTTGAATCCATTTCTCAACTTTTGAGTAAACATATCATATTCTACTGTTTGCTACAATAATATATCAAGAATGAGGTTTTTTTTACGCATCAAACACATTGATTGTTGTGTAATATTTTCGTAGGAAAGATATTTATTTAAAATGGAATCTATACACTCATGATACATTTGTACCAACCTACACTCTTACACTCCAGCATTCAGAAGTAATGCAATTATTATTAATACCATTCTAAAAATACTATTGACCTTTATTTACCCAATAAATTCTTAGACATTCTCCAGATTTTCCCATCAGGTGTCCCGGTTATTATGGACTATCCAGAGAAAACCGTTGCATACAAGGGGATAACACTGAAAGCTCCAAACCAATAGCTTCAAGAATGCATTGCTTCACTGTAATTTCCTGGCCATTTCACAGCCCAAGCCTCCAATACCTAGTATACCCAAGTAGTCTTGCGTATAAGTACTAACCAGGCTCAACCTTACTTACCGTCGAGATAGGAAGAGTACGTGCCCAATCAGTGTTATTTTGTCATAAAGTGATAAGACACAAGCAGTTTACTCACCTCAGAATGTCATTTCAAGAGCCGAGTGACTACACCAGTAAAAGAACCATATATTTTATGGCAGCTGCCATATATACACACGCATGTACCCAGACAACCAACATATATGCCCGCACATTGATAACCCACGCTAGCGCTACATAGTAAAAGGTGCCCACAGTGGCATAGCTATCAAGTGTGCGGCGGTGAAAATGTATCAAAAGCCCACAGGCAGAAGAGGCCCGGGTGCTGGACTACAAAAGGGGGTGGAATTTTACAGGGCACCCCATTTACATCCTTGCACCACTGTGCATTTCAAACCAGCCACGCCACTGTGTGATGCCCACCTGTTCGACTTCAGCTCCGTGGCTGCTGCGTCTCCTCCTCCTCCGCGGTTCATCACGGCGTGGCACTGCGTACACGTCCACGTGTGTGGGGAAGCCCAGGGGCACGTCTGTGATGACCTGCTCCTCCGAGATGTGACTGGCAGCCTGCCGTGCAAACGAGAGCAAGCGCCGGCTACAGCCACTCAGAGATATCCTCGGACTTTGCCGATGAGCAAATCAGCGAAATGTGCCCAATCTCATCGTATCTCAAAAGCTAAACAGAATTTGAGCTGGGTAAATACTTAAAAGGTTACCATTAGGTATTTTTTTATTTTACCTTTAAATCCAAATTGTCATCATCATCATCAGCCACGATCAACTCACGGCTTGATGAAGGACTTCCAAAGTTGCCACCACCTCTCATGACCTTGTGATGCAACAATCAATCCAGCACCTACACATGCATTTATTTCATTGCTTCATCTCCATGTAGGGCCTCCACTCGAACACGTTCCATATATTGCTACCATTCCATTATTAATCTTGACCATCGTCCATCATCCTTTCTAGCACAAACCCACTTCTCTTACTATTTCGGATGATGTCTTTAACCTAAATGTGTTCCTTTATCTGTTTCCCAATGTAATTCTAAACATGCATCTCTTCCATGCTTCTCTGCACACTTTTCAGTTTTAGTTTTTCATTAACAACCACGTTTCTTCACCATATGTCATAGCAGGTAGTGCACATAAAGGTTTCTTCTTTGGGTGTATTGGTACACTGCTCTTCATTATCAAATTATATTGCACATTATAAATATAATGCATCCAAAACACTGCACGACCAACCCAGTGACATGAGTTGTATTCTCAGCCATAGCTAACATAAACAGCTTGAGCTATCTGAACCAGTCCTGGGCCAAAGTGCACCAATTCACAATGACCAGCGTAGTGAAGTATGGTCAAACAACCCCTATGAATTACACAGCATGGGGAGGCCTTCATCCAGTGGTGGACTGACAAAGGTTATGCATTACTATTATTTTTTTCATTATTTCATCTGCTCTTATAAACAATTATTTAGAAAATCGAATTTCGAAGCTTATTGGCATGCAGGTCAATCAATGTGCCATTTACACAGAGGAAATTAAATCCTTATTTGTAATTAAGAAAGTAAAATATATTTTAAGTATTTGAAGGCTGTGTATTGGCAATCCGAGTACCATTAGGTGCCGTGGTGGCGAGATGTTAACTACCTCGCCTGGTATACAGGATGTCGCGGGTTTGGTCCTGACCCTGACGCCCGCTGTATATTTGGAATTTGCATGTTCTCCCTGTGGGCATTTGCATTTTTCTCCGGGTCCTCCGGTTTTTCCCTCCACATTTAAAAATATGCCTTTAGAGTATTTGGCTGTTATACATTTCCACGTGACGATATGCCACTTAGTTGAGCTATGGTGCCCAGGTCACTTCTGAAATAGAGCTATATAGCTCAAGTGGCCTTATCTGGTAAAATAAAAAATAGTTTCTTTTAAAAGAGTTTTTTAGTTTTTTAAACTAACCGTATTCATCGTTCACACTATGAAGGGCCATTGCCCAAACCTTCAGCCAATATATATTTCATCCTTTTAAAGCCACAGTGTCATTGATGAATTAGTAAAAAAAAATTGTTACAAGTACCATCGGTTGACGTGAAAGAAACAAACACAAATGTGCACGATGTAATAGTGCACTGGGAAATATGTATGTTGTTTAGTGTGTCAGTGTGGTGTAAGAATAAAATAAATAAATATAATTTGTGAACATGACTCAGGTGCAACTGGAAAATAAAACCAAAACTGACCACTGAGGTTTAGTATACAGTGTTTCCTGGTGAAATAAAACGAAACATCTGAAAGTAGAAGTATGATGTACACACAGTGAAACATACACAGGGGTTATTTACTACAGTATTTCATCATTTAAATAAATCTGGTTTAATGTCTCTATTGTCCGACTCGGACTCTCCCGAGTTCAGCTGGTAAGGCCCATTGAGCTAAACAGCCCATGTCCACTTACGGTTGAGCCAGCAGTAGCCTAAAGATAATTATTCTCCTGTTACCCACAACTAAGGCTATCTACTGATCTATTTACCGACATCCGGATACACATCTACCTTTCGATATATTCATACCAGCACTCCTATATGATATATTTTTTTCATTATAACAGCATGGACTTACACAATACAATTTGGATTCGTAAATAATGTAAATGTGACTGAATGGCAAGATGCTGCACAAAAAACGCAGGGCATACGCCAATGGTAGAATTTACAAAGGGGTAGAAAATTTAGAGAACAGAAAGGGAGGCGACAATATGTAGGATAAGATAGGCATGATGACAATAGAAAGAGACTCAGTCGTCGGCAGAGACGAATGTTTTTACCTGGAACTTGGAGTGAGAGAGAAAGTCAGCAGTGTGGAAGGCTTGTGGGTAGGAACTCAAAAAAATGTGGGTAGCAGCAGTGTATGAGTGACCTCCCGTAGAGTTCACCAACAATGGATCTAGTTCGCCGGACTCTGCTGATGAGACACTTAATGTCAAAACCAGTCCAGAGTTTGCTTTATGAAACAATTCCCAGAGGCCGTGCGGCCGATGGATTGGGTAAAATTACTTTCCTATTTTACGTGGAAAGACACATGGGAAGAAGGCATTACTTATTTTGTTATTCCCTCAAAGTGGAGATTGACTATGAGTTGTGACAGAATGCCTTAGTAGAAGGAGTCCACAGAGGATCTTTAAGATGGTGAGGGTGATTTATTCTTATCATGATCATTTTATAGTTGATTCAGAATTGGAGTGGGTGGCTTTCTGTTGTGTTTGTGAGTTGTACCATGTGTTGTTCCACATTATATCAGACGTTTCAAACAAAAAACACATTAGGGAGCTGTGCAGCACAGCCATGAAATTGGACTGGGAGTCAGTGAAGGGATCTGAGGATTGGGGTGATATGATCTAATTTTAATTATGAGCACCGGTAAGAAATCTGGCAGAGGAATTCTGCAAAATCTGCAGTTTGAAGGTGAGAGATTTGGAGAGGCCATAGAGTGGAGCGTGACAGTAGTTGAGCAAAAAGGTGATGAAGGCGTGGAAAAGATAAGGGTCTCAGCAGTAGATAGGTCATGGAAGTAATGGATGTTATTGTTGTGTAGTTGAAGATAGGTGGTCTTATAAAGTAGAAACATAGAGAATTATGGGTCTGGCCTGATGATGACTCAAAGGCTTCAAATACTTACCTAATTTGAGCATGTTCACAACATGCTTGTTTGCTTACATCTACATAAGTACAGGAATATCTACCAAGTCAGTCTGCATACCCTTCCCTGGTCTATCTGGACACGTTTACCGGAATTTTATGTTTTAACACATATTTAACAATAGTTGTTTTTTTGCACAAATCTCTGGCAATGTTAATGGTGCATTTCTATGCATGCACCGTGGTCAGATGTTGGGGATCCCCTGGCATAGAATCAACCACAGTGGAAATTCCACATAGGCTTTGATTATGGGGAAGTCGCCTGGCAGAGCACGAGCACAGGTTCATGGTTAGCTCTCTGGGGCCGCACTAGTTAATGCTGACGATGTAAGCGGTCTGTTTCAAAGCGGAAGATAAATAATCTCATGACGTTATCCGTAAAAGTGTAGGACATATGTTCCAGCGTCACAGTCTAAAATTTCCCAGCTTGAATTGGGAGCACACAGAGCAATCACTCCCGACTCAAAAACTGTGAAACACAGCAACTTCCTGATAGCTTTGCGACAAATAATATAGCCGCGGATACCAAAAAAATTACTAATGATTTGATTTACGCTGTATTGCATATCTAATATTATACGTCATTAGAGAAACATACCGAGAGTATTCCACTTTGGTTCATGTATACAGAACTCTATGGTTTGAAAAAAGAAACTGGCCTCCTATGCCACGTACAGTAATCCGTACAAATATTTTGTTATTTAGATTTACAAGTTCCTTCCAGTAAATGGATTTCCCTGCCAGATTGTGGTCTGGATATGAGCTGCACTCACTTGTAAGAGAGAGGCCTTGACCGCCCTCGCCACGTCCTCTCGCCACTCGGGCAGCCGGGGTTGTACGATTCCAGGCTCGGTGAGAAGAACAGGTGAAGAACGCGCACATGCTCTGTCGCGCACACACACAGACACTCCCCGATAAATCACCTGTCAGAAAAACACGCTGCGCGATGATCACCATAATCGTCATCACAATAATCATGTTTAGTTCTATATAGTGGCGTTCATGCAAATTGCATCTCACAATCGATAAGGAACCACAGACAAGCTGGAAGGCAGCAGATAGGCCAGGGGGTTTCCCAAACTCGAGTCCTCACGACCCACCATGCTCCCTATGCAATTACAAATTAACTCATTCCACGCTGCATGCATCCAATGATTGTTAAACACGTCCCACATTATGCGCTAAGCAATTAACGCTCTGAATTAATAGAGCCGATTAAAATTAAGATTGAGATGTCAGTGTGCATGTGTGTACACGGCCAACATCAGTGACGATTATCTGAACCGGTCCTGGGCCTCCCCTAGGTCGACTCAGCCTTAAATGAGTACCTGATGCGGTGTGTAAACATCGCCACTGGGGAGACAAAGGCGGTCGGGCGTGGTGCTGGCCACCCACCCTCTCGTGTACCGTTCCGGCCTTCATAGGTGCTCGCTAACAGCACTTGCCCCTACAGTCTGTTAAGGCTATACGGGGGATATTTGTCTTTGTGCACGTGTTCCGTGTGTGTGTTTCACGTGACACAGGCAGCTTCAATTCAGAATCAGAATCTTTAACAATCATCAAGCGTGTGCAGCATGGTGAGGTGCCATGAGGATTAGAGTTTGGAAAACCCTGAGCTTGGCAGTGAGCCCTCTGCCAATAATTCCCCAAGCTCTGCAGTGAGCTATATACTAAGATGCTTTCAGCCAATTAATAATAATTTGTACTCATAACATGTTTATACATGAGGCAGTACAATGTCTAAAATCAAATTCATTAAAAATAATAACAATACTGTAATACGGGAAAATAAACTGAAAATTATTACATCAGCACTGATGGACTCCATTCTAATTCTGGCAAAACATAGGAGGTGTTAAGATCTTCCAACACCAAATAGACACCTATTACAAGGCACAAAGTCTGCACTAACCACACATACTTGTGGTAAAATTTGCAAACAAATATGCTTTCATAATGCATGCATAATTTAATTATTATATGATTTGTTTCTATCTATAAGAATAATAATTTGTATTCATTGGGTGCTTAAATGCACCAGCATATCAAAGTACCTTATATTACATCTCAACTAAATTATTCCAGTTTTTTTAAGCCTAGAGGGCCCCTAATGACAGCTGCCTCTGTGCAGCACAAGGTGAACAGGAGCGGTGGCCTGCAAGTGGGCATTATTTGTGAGTTGGTTATTCCAGTTAAGTAGTTTTGCCAGTATATTTCTCAAATTTGGACCACGAAGCCAGTACACATGCTGTATCTATAGACAGTTGCATCAATGCTTGTTTGAAAGCAATTTCCCAGCGTTACAGACAAGACACCCGATCACCTGTGAGCACAAATGAATAACTCTCTGGTCATTCTAAGAGTAGGCCTGACTCCTAACCGCATAAGATCCAAGAACAATGCAATTTAGGGGATTCTCCCACTTCCCGATCAACTGGCTTCAGCTTCACAGCAGCACTGGAGCTGACATCCAGAGTGGGCTGGCTCTAAGCCACTCTCTGAGCCGAACGCAGCACATATAAGTGAAGGAAAGATTTAGCAGTTTTATATTTTTATATATATGCTGTCATGAACAACCGAATTACAACCATCAATTTCACTGCATATCTGAACCCCTTACATTCCAAGTACCGTAGTCAATGCTCTCTTGTCGTGCTACAGCCCCGGCGGGGTTCAAGGTGAGCTCTTTGAAATATTCATTCAATATGATGACACAGTCATCAGCATTTTTGCTGTTTTCGCATCCTCTGTTATGCTTTAAAAGCATTTTAATTTCACACGCCCAGGCCACAAGCTGTTTTTCTCTTCTTCTCTGCATAGATTTGATATTGGATTTTCTCACCGTACACCATGAGAGAGCGAGAGTGCTGCACAGCCCAACTGCCCGTGGCGGCCTGCACGCTTATCGCCGTCTCTCCCACCGCAGGAAAACTCGTTGTCACCTCTCCCGACAGAGACACCACTGGCTGAGGAGTGGAGCCGAGCAGAAACATCATCAGCAGCCTTCAAAGGCAGGCCTCAACCTTCTGTTTAAAAACTTACACTGACACCCGGTATCATAAAAACTCCATACACTTGTCAATTACACTGCCCTAAAGAAGAATACAAATGTAAAATAGACAACATTTCTGAGGATGGCCCTTCATCATAGTCAATCTATGAAATCTCTCTGCTTTGGGCTGTTGCCCGAAACGTCTCCTGTTATATATATGTTTTCCTCTTGAAGGCTGTGTCATTGCCAAATGTGTTTAATTTTTGGTATTTGTGCGTGTGCACCACTGCCAATGCAGAAACACGTGTTTTTTGTTAGGTTTATTTTTACTGATATCACATATGTTCATCACGGCAAATGAAAGTTACTTACAAATACCAAAAAATTAGAGAACGCATTGGGGCAAATGTAGGGAAACAGACAGACTAAAAAGACACCAAAGGTCAATGGTAGGGAGCACAACCAATGCAGGGACAAAAAAACAAAGATCCCCCGTATAGCCTTTAACAGACTGTTGGGGCAAGTGCTGTTAGTAAGCACCTATGCAGAAGGCCGGAACAGTACACGAGGGGGTGGGTGACCAGCACCACGCCCGACCACCTTTGTCTCCCTAGTGGCGATGTTTACACACCGCACCAGGTACTCATTTGTGGCTGAGTCGACCTATGGAAGGCCCAAGACCAGTTCAGATATTCGTCACTGCTGTTGTCTGTGGGTGGGGATCGAACCGGGTGGCCGGGTTTGTAGTGCAGTACGCTAACTGCTAGACTACTGCTCCCCACAATGCAAGGACAACACCGTGACCCACACACACACAGAAGCGTCCCAACATAACAAAACATGGCATTAGTTGGCATGGACAACTTTGTATCATTCACAATAACTAATCCCTAATATAACTTTAGTTATTTTACATACTTGCAAAACACAGGCCCAAGTAACCAGCAATAAAAAAGCTCTATCCCAGGTGTGAGATACAAGAGTTAACACCGTTCTAAAATTGAGCACGGAAAAGAGGCGACGGTCAGGAATTCCAGTCTCGCTAGAAGGTCTACGCACAAACTAAGTTAAGTCAAATCTGCCCTGATAGTATAAATGAGGTTTGCTTCTATGAACGATTTTTTTTTACCTCTTTAATCATAAACCATTGCGAAATACGAAAATATATTCAAAAGGTTTAATACATTTAAATTTTATTTTATCCAAACAAAAATAACAAACATCATTAACATTGTAATGTATTTTCATTCAATGACCATTGCTGGTATTTATTATCATCACCATCATTACAATAATTATCCTCATTGTGTTCGCTTCACCAGAAGCACCATGCAGTGCCTCATAGACACCGATTCAATTATCCAGGATGTGCTCCACACCACACAACAAACAATGTCACTTTAGGATATGTGTATCAAGGAAGCTTTTAAAATGTATACCCCTACAACCCAGCTAATTCATGGTCATTTCATCATTCAAAACCAATGGACCTAAATTTCACCCGCAATTGACGAACAAATTAAATTACATTACACGAGCAATTCAATTTGATTAAAACACTTACGTGTTATTCCCCCGGGAGAAAACTGTACGAGGGAAATTTATTAACGGTGTTTGTTTAGTGTTATGGCATCGTTATTTGTATGGATTTACGCACTGGATTTGTAGTTTCATTTCGTGTGCACCAAGCCGCATGCTGTGTCTGTAACGAGGTGTGCGAGTGTAGGAGTGCTGCCACCTGTGAACTGTTCCCCAGCCACCAAGAGAAGACCATTCCTTGGCTGTCGGCAGGGGTGATGTGCGTAAACACGTTGAAGAGCTGGTTACGCTTCACCACGGGGGCATAGACAGGTACACGCTTGACAGGGGCTCTGCACGGTAACGAAAAAAGAACAAATTTAGATTGACGTGAACGCACAAAGAGCTCTACTTAAACCAGCGTGAATTCTAGTCTGGAATAAAAGAGCATAATAAAAAATGATCTTACTCGCGCTGGCAGATTTTACTTTAAATTTCTAGGTGCAAAAGAAAACTAAGTTACGGAATGTTATTGTTTAATCACAGTTGTACGTACATAACATTTTTTATGTTGTATAAATCTACAAGCGCAATATAAATAACCCATTGGCTCGTAATTTTAATGCAATCTTACCTTTCAGTAACCTGGCACTATTTTAAAGCTGGAGAGTAAAGGTTAGTTTTCGAACAAATTTCAAATGTACAACCAGCCTTTGCCCCATAATACATTTTCACCACCCTTATCTTACCCAAAATACATTTTTTTTGCCAAGATTGACAATTACATTTTCCACCACAACCTTAAAATGACACAACACCAAGGTGACATTTGTTTTTACCCTTGTATTCTCGTGGAGATGTTAGGTCGATCGCAGGACCATGTGACGCATTGATGTTGACCACACATAGTCCGAGTACCTTGCGGAGTGGTTCAAGGTAGGCGTGCGTCATACTGTACCCCGTTTGTCTCGAGGGCACTTTTCGGTAAATTTTTCACCCCCAAATGAATAATGATTTTCACCACAATAATTGATGTATAATTCCAATGTAATATTCGAGAACATAAGAAAGTCTGAAACATGATATTGTCTGTTAAGAAAAGTAAACAGGCTTGGGGCAGCACACATCTCTAGAAGGGATGATAGCCGGTGGTCAAGATTAACGCCAAAGTGGCAGCCAAAGGGGTACATACGCCCAAGCGGAGATGGAGTGATGAGAATCAGCTAGATGGATTGTTTTATCGCAGGATCATGTGAGACGGCGACGGCTTGGGGAGACCCTCATCCAGCATGGGACTGATCGTAGCTGGTGATGATCATGATGATGTGGTGGGAAAATATTGACCTCGCCTGGTATACAGGTCATGGGTTCAATCCCGACCCTGATGCTTGTATATTTGGAGCTTACATGTTCTCCCCGTGGTCGCGTGGATTTTTTTCTGGGTCCTCCAGTTTTCCCCACAACATTTAGAATCAACGCACGTTAAGAGCATTTGGCCGGTATGAATGTCCGCGTCGTAAGCCACCTCGGTGGGCTATCATTTGCGGCCCGATGTGTTTAAGAAAAACAGCCACATAGCTCAGTGGGCCTTAACTGGTGAAATAAAAAAAAATTGTTTAGTGTATAGCTTTGAAAAAACGCTCTTGCAAATCTGCTCGTGCAACGGACGTCTCCTTACGCAGCACTTGGATGTAGAGTTGTGACTGTTCCCAGCCACCGGAGTTCTCTGCGCGCACCACCACGCGGTAGACGCCAGGCTCGCGGTAGCGGTGCAGGACCGGCTCCTCGCGTAGCGTGAGGTTCACGTAAATCGCCTTGAAGCCGTCACCCAGGTCCACAAAGTACTTCGTGGTGGCCGTGTCTCCCTGGCAACGGCAAAGGGCATCGATATTCAGACGTTTCGTTCGTGCGCCGTGCAGGAAAATTTCCACGGCACATATCAGAGGTGTGGACTCGAGTCATGTGACTTGGACTCGAGTCAGACTCGAGTCATGAATTTGATGACTTCAGACTCGACTTGGACTTGCATAACAATGACTTTGTCCCACCTCTGAGGTGTGGACTCGAGTCATGTGACTTGGACTCGAGTCAGACTCGAGTCATGAATTTGATGACTTCAGACTCGACTTGGACTTGCATAACAATGACTTTGTCCCACCTCTGAGGTGTGGACTCGAGTCATGTGACTTGGACTCGAGTCAGACTCGAGTCATGAATTTTATGACTTCAGACTCGACTTGGACTTGCATAACAATGACTTTGTCCCACCTCTGAGGTGTGGACTCGAGTCATGTGACTTGGACTCGAGTCAGACTCGAGTCATGAATTTGATGACTTCAGACTCGACTTGGACTTGCATAACAATGACTTTGTCCCACCTCTGAGGTGTGGACTCGAGTCATGCGACTTGGACTCGAGTCAGACTCGAGTCATGAATTTGATGACTTCAGACTCGACTTGGACTTGCATAACAATGACTTTGTCCCACCTCTGAGGTGTGGACTCGAGTCATGTGACTTGGACTCGAGTCAGACTCGAGTCATGAATTTGATGACTTCAGACTCGACTTGGACTTGCATAACAATGACTTTGTCCCACCTCTGAGGTGTGGACTCGAGTCATGTGACTTGGACTCGAGTCAGACTCGAGTCATGAATTTGATGACTTCAGACTCGACTTGGACTTGCATAACAATGACTTTGTCCCACCTCTGGCACATATGCACACACGCAGAGACACCTACACCTGTCCGCTACCACGAAAACATTCTCCACCAATACGATGAATTATGCGGGGCAATCAATTACACTTTTGTGCTAAAATATATTGCACGCACTACTACTGGTAAGTCTTCGTTGTATGCACCAGGTTGTGTTGTGCATAACAAGCTATGGGTTTCAATCTCTTTGCTGTACAATACTCTATATACCCTGGTATTGCATTTTTTGACATGAAGATAACCTCCCCTCCCACCTTACTACTCTCCAGGCTACGTGAACAGCCCCCTTGTCAATCTACTGCTGAATGGGGGTCTCCTGGGGATTCTTTGATCACTGATTAAAGAATAAAAAAATACATATTCATAACATATCCCTAATCAACCGTTAATATAACACTTTTTCGTTTCAATTCAGTGATTATCATGTAAGCTGACAAATCATTTGCGACGTGTGTGCACCTCCCGTAGGTTAGGGTCAAATATGATAGACAACGTTGTCCCTCATGTAAGTCTTCAACCTTCATGTTTTCCTGGTGGCACGTGACTAATATCAGAATCAGAATATTTATTTATATTGGAGGAATCCGATGAGTTATAAAGCTTTTTTTCACAGATGCCCAGTCGGGGCAGGTAAGAACGTTACAACAACAAACAATACAAAACATGATAGGAGCGCAAAGTATAGGAACGGTAAACAAATCCCTTTAAAATAAAAATACAAATAAAATAAACAATTTTTTTTATCTTACCAGGTAAAGCCCACTGAGGAATTAGCTTATTTTATTCACAAGCAACCTGGCTGAATGAGCTGCGACTGCTCCCATGGCCACAAAACGACGGGCGGTGCTAGGCGCGTTGCGCTGCACCTTCTCCTGCAGCACGTAGAAGGTGACATTGTCTCCGGGACTGACCACCAGCTTCCCTCCCACAGTCACGATGCTGAGGCCGCGAGGGGGCATCACGGGGCACGCCAGCACCGTGGACTCGTAGTGCACCTCCAGGCCTGACACGCACGTGTTGGACACCATCTTCCTGTACCTGTGGGCAGACACACATACACACACACACAGGTGAAATTAGGTAACGCCGCAGCCCTTGCTCAAGCAGCTGGTGGTGGAAGAGCCTCCGCTCTTGGGAATGCTACAAAGCCCCTATTAGAGGGCGTTTGGCCTACTTTTTGACAATTGGGGATTTTCGAGGACAATGGGGCAACTGCAGGGTATAGATATGTAAGGAAAATAGCAAGGGTGCAGCCATGAAATTTCTCGCTAATGCCACTACTGGCGAAATAGCTTCCACTAGAGGGAGTCCTACAGAACCTCGAGAGCAGGGGGTCCCCAACCCCCGGGCCGCGACCGGTACCATCATCTGTATTGACAGCCGCTCCCATTGCTCGCATTAACGTCTGAGCTCCGCCTACTGTCGAAACCAGCGGCGGTAAGATTCTCATAGGAGCGCGAACCCTACTGTCAACTGCGCATGCGAGGGATCTAGGTTGCGCGCTCCTTATGAGAAGTCAGAATCCGACGCCTCGTTCCCACACTGCGCACTTGTCTCAGTCATAGTTTGGCGAGCCCACAAGCTAACCCCTAGTAGCCACAATGAGTAAAAAACAAACGTGGCTGGAGAGCTTCTTTGAAAAGGGGGAAAGACCCAATGATGAACCCCTCCCCCAGGTCCGTGAAAAAATTGTCTTCCACGAAACCGATCCCTGGTGCCAAAAAGGTTGAGGACCACTGCTCTAGAGGATATTTTTACATACTCTTGCATGCTGGCAAGACGTCTTGGAAGAAGTGGGAGTAACCCACACTTTACCCCACCACACACGACCTGCCCATCGACGAACTGTGATGCACCCATTTGTATTGCTGGGTGGACAAAGGTGGGGTGATTTAAGAAACGTTATGAAACAATATTTTAAAACGTATACACATATACACATTGTATGTATATAACCACATGCAAAGATTCCGTTCATAATCAGTGGGATTTATATGTAAATTATATATATAAACTGCCATAATAACCTACCTCACTATTATTAGACATGTATGGATTCATCTATTCGTCAAATATTTTTGATTCGCATTATTTGAAATGGGTTCACATTACCTCGCCAACCATTAGAGGCATTACATTTACCACAATGTTAAAGGGAATAAAATGCAACCAAAAATCGAGACATTTCACAAAATGAAAGAAGAGCAAATCATTACTTCATGCTCACACCAAACTCTCATACCAAAACCCGCAGATGAACAAAAGTGAAATGCGTATGTTTTAAAACAGTCATTAGATAAAATGTTAAAGTGTTCTACCATTATCATAATCAGCCATGATGTACTGCTGAATGAAGGCATCCCTAAGCCAACGCCAGCTGACATGAGCCTACAATGCAACAATCCACCCAGCAACCGCACACAAACTGAGTTCATCCCTCCATCTCCTCATTCGACGCCTCAGATGCATTCCATTCCCCGTCTGCCACTCCATTATTATTCTTGACCGTTGTCCATAATCCCTTCTAGCGACATATCCTGCCAAAGCCCAATTACTTTTCTTAATAGTTTCGGATGATGTCATTAATCTGCATATGTTCTCTAATTCATGTGTTCCTCTTTCTGGCAATGTAATTCCATGCTTGTCATCTCTTCACGCATCTTCTTCAAAAGGCAGGGTGCCTATGATCTGCAAAGGTCTCTGTCTGGTTCATTCCTGTGCCCCATGTAAGCTGAACACTTATTCCAGGCACTTGAGCACTTTTGCTTACGTAGAAAATTCAACCCAAAGTCGGAACCCAGTATGAATAGCCAGTAAAATGGGGGCCAGGAAGAAGGGATGGACTCTGGATACTCCACCACCTTCGTCAACACATGGTAACCGTTGCTTCTGGGGGATAACGAGAATGACAAACTTGGACATTGCCTTCGTGTTATTTTATTTTGAGTTCTGTTTGGTTACACCCCCTCCCCTTTCTCCCATTCTCTTCCCCTCCCGGTGTACACACTGCTCCCAATCTTTACCCCGAACGCGCTAGGGTAGCGAGCCCGAACGACCCTCGCTCGTTCCCACATTTTGAGGGTGCGTTACGCCTGCCTTGTTACGTGTTACCTATTCCCCCCCCCTACTTTTGAAATTCCCACTGTATTCTGGGTTCATTAATCACAATTGTTATTTTATATTCTATATTAATAGAAAAATCAACCCACAGTATTGCTGCGTTCGCATAACAGCAACAGTGCAAATTCATGAAATCTCACCCTGAACTGTTGGTGTAGGTGTCCCCGGGAGGCACTCGGTTGGGGTGGAAGCAGGGTTGTGCCAAAAGGCCGGTCTGCAGGAACCATCCGGGTAGCGTTCAAAACCGTAATCGCTGCACAAAGATCAGACGCAAGAATTACAAACTTGGCCGACCACCGAACCTGGACGGTTTTTTCTTCTACTTTTTCAGAGGGAGAATAAAAAAAACCCAGAGTAAAATACCCACCACTCAAAGTCAGAATCCTTGCACAGGCAGAGATTGGATTTCAACCTCTTGTTAAAACTCTTGCCGTTGATGCAGAGTGACGACAGTTTGCGCTTCCGGTACTCGTGCACCTCTCCCATGATGCAGGCTTCGTCCTGCAAGCACAACAAACGCTAGCAACAGAGGCCCGCACTGCGGTTCATGAGTGATGAGCCAAATGCCATGCTCTGCAATTTAATATCCCAGATCTAATATGTTTGTAATTTCAGTCTCTCATAGCATCAAGTTATGCAAAATCAATAAAAACTAATTTTCCAAAATTAGTTTTTCCTTGCAAATTTTTTTAATTTAACAGTATGGAATTCGACCAATAGCTGTTCGTGACAATTATGTATGCATATCAAAAAAAAATCCCTCTGGTTTTATGCAACTTTTGGCCTACCCTTGGATCAACGTGCCTGGCTTTCAATAGGTTCAGTCCCTAATCGCAACAAAAACGTATCCTATAGTTTTGTTCATATAGGGACATCTGTACGAGAGTTTATCTTGCCCCCCATTCCTTTCAATTAGAGACAGTCGGACACAACTAACACATAAACGTTTTCAACATTCATTGGAAGGTATTAATAATGGACATTTAATTGATCGTAAACTGTTGCTCATCGTGTTTGCCATGAACATGTATTGAACAGAAATTCAACACACTTGGTTGTGAAATGTCCAGTTCTCATAATCCTCGTCTGAGCAGTCATGGAAGAAAAGGGTCCGGAAGTCGATCTTCACCAGCTCCCAATCCGAGCGGAGGCTCGCGTGCCCAAACATCCTGGATCGCAGGTGCAGACAAACGCAGGTGCACACAAACGCGCGTAAATTCCCAAAGACCCCCAGCCAGATGGGAGGGAGCTCCTTAAATGAGCTAACACCTACTGGGGATTCATTTTCAATGAGGTAGCAAACTGTGCGTAAACTGGAAGTTAATTGCGCTCTTAGAATGACGTGGCAATTGTTGCGTGGCACCAAGCAAGTGAGGCGTGCGTGCGTACGTGATGACGAGTGTTTCATCGCCGGGCTCGCTGAGCAGCCCGTCAATGTAGATGGGAGTGGGAGAAAAGTCGTGGACTTTCCAGGAGATGCCTTCATCCACGCTGTACCTGCACACCACATCGAACCATCCAGGTGCAACGGTGGAAACGTGAGGCACAACAAATTAATCAGTGCTGCACCTGCAACCACCCCAACATTTTCACAAACAAGGCAGCACACGCACGTGCACTTTCAGACATTTACGATGACTAAACAGAGCCATTGTGTTTAAAATAAAAACTCATTACGGGCTGAAGTGGAGCATTGTGAGTAAGTATGTAGATAAATAAAAAAATATGTTTTTACTTCCTCAATCTGTCTAATACAATCCGGATGTTAAAAACTGGCAAAGAGTTTATTTGCTTAAACGAATGCTTTTGGTTAATATACATCCAGAAGGGCAATAGGAAAATATGATGCAATTTTTATCTCAAAATACCGAATGACAATTTAGATATATATTTGCTTTCATTGCCTTTAAAGAACTGCAATAAATCAAATCTCACCAAAGCTGCTTTATGGGCATTGCCGTGTCCTTGACGGCAATGATCGCTCCTCCATGATCCAAGAAGAGAATATGATGTTCATCATCGAATGCCTGCAAGAAAGCAGTGAAATTAACGCCGAACATTTGCAAGAATCTTGAGCTCTCTGATTTCATTTGGGGGTACCACGATTATTCTGCATGATGTCTGATGTTTCGCTTGCTCTACATGCTGGAAGCTTCTGCAGGAACTTCTTACAAAAGCTCCCAAAACGCAGAGTGAAACGTCGAACAACACACCATAGTAGAACACAACAACACACCAGAGAGCTGCACAGCACATCCACAATGTGTAAGCATATTCTGCATTTAACATGCAAATGAAAAATAACATTTTCTTGGAAATTTGTGCAGCCTCAGCATAGGAAATCATAAATAAGTCATGGAATTTCTGCCTTTTAGTTTGCGGTTTGAATGCTTTTTTCTGCACTGACCTGACTCCATGTATTTCCACCATCAGAGGAGACGAACATTTTTTCTTCGTACTCGACCAATCCGGCTCCCAAATTTCCTGCACATAAATAAAATAACAGCACTATGACCATGGTGAGCATTAGCTGTGGCTCTCCAAAGGTGCCACTGTATTCTTCAGATGGCCTTACATGTTGACTGCTTGCACAGTATAAGGCTGTTCACTTACATATGCACATAGCCCATTGAGGTTTATTTTCTTTACTCGAGAATTTTCAGAAAGATCACTGAATGCATTCTAGGAAAGCAAACCTTTTAAAAGAGGGGGATTCACATTGTTAAACAATGTTCCACGTTGATGATTTAATGATACATCTCATAGGCCAGGTGCTCCCACAACAGCACATTGAGAGTCGGGAAGAAGAACACGTGATCGCGAACAAATGCAAACATAGGCATCATATTCACTGTAAATAAAAGTAAGTGGGCTTAGCACGACACACTTCTAATCGTGATAATTGACTGGTGGTCGAGATTAATGATTGAGTGGTGGCCAAAGGAGAAAACATGCCCGAGAGGATGTCCTCCCCAGAGATGGAGCAATACGATCCGCTGATGTGCAGGTGCTAGATGGATTGTAATGTCGAAGGATGGCTTTGAGATGCATTAATTCAACATAGGATTGATCGTGGCCGAATATGAGAATGAATGCGAGTGAAACATCAGGGAACATTCTTTTTCAAGCGCTTAATTGCAGTGTAACGGCAAAGGTAAATCACGTGTGCATAACAGCTATGTTTGCAGAAATTCAGGCCTCACCAGTGGCCATGAGTAGGCCAGGAGCTGTGGCCATAGATACGACCTTCCCTGCCAAAACGGTGTCTCCAGAGGAGTGAAGGTGCAGGTGCAGTGAGCACGCGGGCTGCACACAAACACCCACAGCATGCACACGCAGCAAGCATGACTCCCGTATAACGTATAGGATGCAGTGCACACACGCACGCACACACAACCAAATTATCCCTCCCAACAAGCAGAAGCAAACACACTTACCCATGGCTTCATATCAGCAGAAATGTTTCCATATCTGACACATCACATCTAGTATACCCTCTTGCTCTGGCTGGGGCTACTAGTTATGTGCAACTTACTCAAGTCTACTCGTGACTCAGAAAATATCCAGTGATCAATTAATCCATGGAAAAAACATTGCGCAATGAATCCACGAACGACTTTTTTTATTGACTTAAATCATTTTCAAAATAACGTGGCACCTATGCACTTAAGCAGGTCAATGTTTCAGCAGACAATGTTGCACATCACTCGAATAGTTTACATGAAGCATAAAGAGAAATTGCACTGATAGGTAAAACGTGCATTTGATCTAACCCAAAAATAACTCTATTATTTGATATTTTTTTTCTTTTGGCTTTCCAACACTGTACTGTGTAACATGCTCCATCAATTGCAGTTATTTGTAAAATTGGAAGCGCCCAGAAATGCTTCCCCCTGGTGTCTAATATAAAGCATGTTCCAAAGTCCTGAATCACACAAATGATGCACTGTTGACATTTATGCTTTCAACAGTGTATTTTAAACTGCCCCGAGTGAACAAGAGTTTACTCAGTTGCAAAAGAGGTTAAGAGATGGCTTAGTTCTGTAACTCCCACGGACTAACATGGCGTTCAATAGAGAACCAGCCTTTTATCAAAATATCAGTCAATCTCCATTTCTGTTTATAAATGATGCTTCTTATGCTACTTCTGAAAGAAATACATTCTTGCTGTGGAAGCCATTATTTATTTCAGAACCGCACTATTTCCACTCAAATCTGAGCACGCCAATACAATGTTGATTGTTTTAGCATTTAAATGCAACTGCATCTTTAACACGTTCTACAGAGTAGTGGGACATATGCATCAAAGGACTGCCACTAAAAGGAGGAACATCTATATTCTTAAGGTATGGTGCGAGAAGACCCTTTGTAGAGAAGAGAAGTCAGTCACAGGCAGAAGAGAAGAGGCAAACATTTGAGCTTTCAATTGACCCTGCCACGGGGGTATGTCAGTTTGACAGAGCATTGCCATGAAGCCATTGAGAGAGTTTTTTTTTTCTGAGATCATTAAACAGGCTGCAATAAAGATGATTTATGAAGCGCAAGCCTTGCTCACTATTGCCATTAAACCACTCCAGGTATCAAAGCAAGTAGTAATGGCTCAGTACCTTAGCATTAACATTACTGTCACGTTCACGTCAAAGGAAACGTTTCATCCTAAGAAGACTCTCAAGGCACTTTATGACACTTTAGATGCTAATGTGGGCTCGGATGCAGACATTATTCTATGGAATCTAAAAGCCATCAACGTGTCTTGCTTCTTTCCCCATCTTCCACTATTAAAACGTTCAACCTCCACAAAAAAGAAACGGCCTTGAAAATGGAAAAAAAAATCAAATGCCACGTTTGTTACTTTCTAAAAACTTTTTTTTTATGTAGCATGTCAAAAACGCAACCACTTTGACGATAGCTGACAGTTTCAGCCAAGGAGATGCACTGACCGCATACGAGACGGAAGCTATGGTTTCCACCTTCGAGGCACAAAAAATGGGACATATCATGGGAAGAAGAAGAATAACTCACAATACCAGATGAAGGGAGAACTACGTATAAATACATCATCTCCAGTGGTGTATTTTTACCCAACTCACAAAATGAGGACATGAAATATCGGGGTAAACATATTTCCCAGGACAACTACCGTAATCTCAAGATCATAAGACATTCTGGACAATAAAATGCACCCGAACCTATCCTCAGTATCAATACACTTATAGAAATCTGGTCACACACACACACACACACCTACAAGATTATAAGATGCACCCCCAACTGAGATAGAGTACATATTTGGAGAATACAGTATCTCAAAAAAAGGGGCATCTTGGGGAAAACCAGGACATGTGGCGCCTGTAGCAGTTGGCTCTAGAGCGAGGCCTTACCAGCAGGCAGTGTGTGGGCCTCTCGAGCAGATCTGTGGCAGGAGCTGCCAGAAGCCTCCAGTCTCGTCCCCTGTTGTACGTAACGTACGTTTTCACCTCGGCAGCCTGCTTCTGATTCGCCAGGAACACTCCTCTTAATCCATTAACCTGCGCAAGGAAAACATAACCCTTGCATTAACTTTGACGGCGTGACTGAAGAATATTAAGTGGTGGGCGATACACGCTCAAATCAAGCGCTTCTTATTCCCTTTAATTAAAAATACTTGTTAAAATTCTACGGGAGCACTGCCGCACTGCGCCGTGACCCAGGCAACATGAGTTTGATTCGCTGGTCACAGGTGACATTAGTGGCACATGATATCCGAACTGGTCCTGGGTACCCCTCTTTCACCGAGTTGCACTGACCAGCATGGTGAAATATGGTGAAACACCCCTCGCCTGACACGGTATTTAGGATGCCTTCATCCAGCAGTGTAGATTGACAAAGGGATGTCAATTATTCATCTTAGAGAAACGGTGTTTTTAAGGTACTAACATTGTACGTACTAAATAGTCCCATGTCGCTTATTGATTTTTGTTAATTTACACAATTACCACTAGAATACTTGTATTAAAGTATGATGTATTATTTATGCTGTTCACTGAACAACACAACAGCACAGTAGTTGTTTGCTACGCAGAGGACGTTGTTAATTTAGATTTAGTGCATACTACAGCACAAATGCAATGTGTATGATCAATTATACTTCGTGACAATGGCTGGAAAAGTAAGGATCAATTGTTTGCCAATTCTGTACACAACTAAGGAGTAATTACTGCAATAGCTGATATTGATTTATTGTTATTGTGGTGCTTTCTCATAACTTTAGGAGTGCACATACACACAATGTTATGGTGCAGCGTAGTTATTACTTATATCAACAAGTGACCAGTGGCTTTATTCAATATTTTCTTCATCAATGTCGGCATTGACAGGAGTCGTATTAATTTAATTTAACATATTCCCGCAGGACCAAGAACGTATGCAGAGCAAGCTTTTGAGGATGGCACATTGATATGAAGCATAGTATTGCTTATAACAAGTGGACAATGGGCATATCAAATGTTAAATTGTTTACTTACTGGACTTGCCAATTGCATACTAATAATTGTTCTAAAATTATAAAAAATATATATATAGCTTCAACAAACAGCATAATGCATGGCACCTTTCTTGCCAGTATTACAATATAACAATAGGTTTTACCCTTTCTGGCAACGATACAGGTGTCAAGATGTTAAAACACCAAACAAAATCCTTATACTGGTAGGAACCTACTGGTTACACCAGCCCACAGGGGATTATTGTGTCCGTCGTGCAGGGAGGGGCTGGGTGGGGAGGGGAGGGTGGGGAGGGTGGGGCGAGGTGGGGGGTGGGAGGGGTGGAACTGGGTGGGGAGGGGCTGGTCACCCCGTGGTGCCCTTATAAAACTCAACGTTTAACCTACTCGCGCCGGCTTGTGCCCGCCCTCACAGTCGGGCATATTTGCGTAATACACCACGCCGCCGTTGACTTTGGCCATTGACCGAGCAACCCAACGTTCCTACCAGCTCCCTCCGCAGGAATGTGTTTCAAGGAATCCTGTCTGCATTAACTACACGCACTTGTGGTGAACATGCAAACAAAAAGCACGCTCTGGTAATATATGATGCATTGTCTTTGAAACTGATTGGTCCACAAGTGCGTGTGGTTAATGCAGACAAGATTCCTCGAATAAGGATTCTGTTTCGTGTTTTAACATCTTGACACAACTGTTTTATTGCCAGAAAGGGTAAAACCTATTGCTATAGCATGATATATGTATTTTTTAAAACACAGATATTAAATACTGGAAGAGTCACCAAATGCTCAATCGATGAAATAGAATTTCTTGATGGTTTCACCTAAAATAAAATTGTTGAGGAAGACAAGGGGAAATCATCTCAACCGCCCTTCCATAGCCATGGATAGAGAATGCTCGTAGAGAGCGGTGCTGCGACGTGAATAGGGGATGCTATCATATGACTAGCACAGTTGGCTACATACAGTGCAAAAGAAGTTCAACATACATACATACATGAGATGAAGACAGCCTTAGTCGTGGACATGCCCTTGGGTGGAAAACTCATAAATAATCCCGTAGCATAATAAACATTATAACAAACCTGCATGGCCTGTCATCAGCATCGCTCAGCACGCTTGAGGTTTTAGGACAGCCAGGGCTTCCAGTTTCCAAGGTTTAAATTTAGGCTGGGACTGCGACCAAGACATGATTTCTGCGCCCAGCACAATACATCAAATACACCTCTCTCTATGGCTGTAGCTACTATGCCACGTGCTACCTGCTGTGTCAAATATTCAGTGCAAAGTTAAGCCTCGGGCACACCTCATGCACGTTTATGATCTTGGGAGCACTCGGGATATCACTGCAGGCAACGTTGGCTAGAGACAGGGTCAGTCTGTCGCCACGCTCATCCGAAAAGTAGAGTCCGTATGTCTGGTTCTGATTCCAGTCTCGCGCTGCTGCAAATACGCCTTCTCCGCCCGTGCTCAAGATGTGCAGGTCCTGCACACGTGGAGAGCAGCCGCCAGCGAGCCAGTGTTAGCACCATGTGCAGACTGCACGACGACCAATCTCAATAAAGCCTCACCTGTTTTAAATCCGGAGCGATTTCCTGCCCGAATGAGCATTGAGGCAGTGCTCATCTCCTGTCTGCAGCCTTGAGCCAAGAGTGGAAATTCCACATTCCTATCCATAGGACAATGACTGGTCGACTTCCCCAAAAGGCAGTCCTAATTTTATCGACCCCAGGGGGATAATGGATCGGGTCAACCCCCAACCAGGATTTGAACCTTCTGATTGCGAGCCGCTTACTCTCACACTGAACTGCCAGGCTTGGTGTATTTTAGGATCGTTTTTATTTGTTTATTTTTAAGCTAACTGCTTCCAGAAATACCTGATCAATGTGGTTTCATGGAGAGGAATGTGAGACCTTTGCTGTAAACTTATAACAGCTCTACTTCACCCATGTGAATGTAAGTGGAGTCAAATGTTTCCAGAACGATGCCAAAACATGGTTTTACTAATATGTGTTTGATTTTAAACATATACAGTACATTTTAAAGTCATGAACAATAATACTATAAGTGTGCTCATGATAAGGGTTGCATTTTATATAGACGAATGTGATATGTGTGTATAGATGCATATGAATAATAATGTCTTATTATAAATAAATTGCCTCCTCATAATATGTAAATAGTCTGTGCTGTCTTAGCAACCATTCGGGGTCATTATTTATACAATTTGAATATCTACGTATGCATACGAAACAGATAACTAACCAACTTCATAGTTTTTATTGTGATATTTTGGAAAATAAAAAATAAAAAAATGTTTGTGCATCTGCAAAAGCCTTATCAAATTGAACATGCATATGTAGAACCGCATCTATATCACATTTTGTAAAAAAAATATAAAGGCAGTGGACTATTTTTCAGAAACGTAATGTAATGAAAATGTGTACGTGACCAAAATCCAGAATGGCCAATAGGAGGTTATACAGCACATTGTATCAGAGCACATCTCGAGATTTCTCATGAATTCGCAAAAAAGTACAATTCACCGTAATCCTAAATTATTCGAGAATCGGGAAATAATTGCATTAATGGCTGCCCTGTACTTTTATCCAGGTATTTAATAATACAAAGCACCATGCTGAAAGTTCTCAAGTAATTAGATCGACTAAGCTCCATTGTACATTTTAAATACTTTTTTTCTATTTTCATGGGCGAAATGGAATATCGTGTGATGCAATAATGCATGTATTTCGTTTTGAAGAGCAAAATATGAGTAACATCAGAGAGGCCTCAATCTGGACTGAGGTCAGATAGCGCTACAAAAGGACAGTTGTGAAAAGCATACTTAACGCAGTGGGCAGAATAATTTGTATTTGCTTAAAGGGAATATATTGACATTGTTCATACCCTAGGCAAGGCGTACTTGGGGAACAGCATCTGCCGGAATTGCCTCCGCCCATGAGAGACATAATACCGGGCTATGTGTCCATCTGTCACCTTGAACACACAAGCACGCAAGGTTTCAGAGCAAGAAAAGGGCATTCGACTTCTCAAACTCACCCATCTGCGAGCTTACAATGGTGCCCATTTCTCGCTATTCACCCATCCGTAAGTGACAAGGATAATCCTAATTTCTTTGTTTGTGACTGAATGCCTTAGTGATGTTTCAGTCCTCTTTGTCAGGGCGAGTCCTACTTGGGATATTTACCAAATTCATTTACATAAGCATTTTGGTGATGGCTATGGTACTTTTTGTGATGAATCCAAAGTGTCCCATTAAAAATCCATCCATTGGAGGGGAAGGCCACTCAAACGCTGCACAGAAAGTTCAGAAACGTATCAGGTATCTAGAGGTATTTTATTGCCCTTTACCATGGGTGTGGGTGTCTCACACACATCATTACAGAGCAATCCACTGGGTTGATTTGCAGTTTACACACAGTGTATTGAGATGTGGTTACATTTAGACGCTATATTAATCCAAATTGTATTGTATTGCTAACTTAACACAGAACGCATATTATGAATTGATATTGTATTCTTTCATTGTACTGTGTTGTGGCTCTTCGGCATATATATTTCTGTAATATGACTGCTATATATTTTTGGTTCTTTCAGTAAAGTCACGTAGAAGGGAAATGATAAAATAATATAAATATAAAACAATACAAATTCTGGATTTCACACCTGATGATGATTGCTTGTGTTGCATTCGAAACGTCGTGAGACTTTTTTATTTTTTTATATTTATATTATTTTATTATTTCCCTACTACGTGACTTTACTGAACGAACCAAGAATATGAATCCCTGCAGTCACGAAAGCTTTAAATCAAAATATGACTGCTATAAGTAAAAATTGTACTACAAGTAGGATACATTTAATTTCCGATGTACCATTAAAGACAATGCATATCCCTGGCTTGAAAGCCTTTGTGAACCAACTCGACTACATTGTGATTCTCACTGCTTCACGATTTCGCGTGCCCCAGCGAGCAAGATAATTGGCACAGAAACTGTTTTAAAAGGTCAACCCATGACAGTCATAAACAATTTTCGCCTCTGAAGGGACCTATTTTCATTCTTCTCTTGGCTTAATATTTTTTTTGTATAAGAACTGGCGAGTATTTTCCACCAAACTAGCATGTACACTTTTACTGTATATATATATGTTTCAGAATCATAATCGGGATTTATCCTGGAGGAATTCGGTGAGCTATGAAGCTCTTTTTCATAGATGTCCAGTAGGGGTGGGTCAGCAAATTATAACAAACAATTTTTCCTGTTGTATGGTGAAAGCACATTTACATGAACCTGCTTTAAAAAAGAACATCAAGAAACAGCACATATCCTTCAGAAATATATAATTGCTATGTCCCCTTTCTTATTAACTAGGACAGCTTTTTACGAAACATACAGCCTTAATGTTGGTGTCCCTGCAACCGTTAATCACCAGAGGCAATCACCGAGTCTGGCTTCTTTATCCATGAATACACAGGCACTATTTTTACACAAATCCCGTACTGCACAGGGCTGCAGGCTTGGGAGCTTCTGGGAGTGAATACGCCACCACCTGTCTTCTGATTAAAAAAGAATTAGTATACAAACTGCAAAGGTGCATCAACTTTCTACTCCAAATTATGGCTCTGTCAATTGTTTAGCTCTGTTTATTTTTGTCAGATGGAGTGGTGGTGCAGTGGTTAGCGTACTGCACAATGAACCTGATGACACCTGAATTTTGTTCATGACCACAGTTAGCATCAGTTGTGAGTGATATTTGAACCGATCCTGAGCATCCCTTCCTACACTAATCTGCACTGACCGGCATGGTGAAGTATGATATAGCAACCCCCATGGCTTTCACAGCATGGGAAGACCTTCATACCGTCGTGGATTTACAAATGCTCTAAATTATAATATTATGTGTTTTGTGTGTCACATGTATTACATTCATTATAAGACCTGCCATATATTGCTTGCTAAGTATACCATAGAGACAAAGACAAAGATCCCCTGTATAGCCTGTAATTTACTGTTGGGGCAAGTGCTGTTAGCGAGCACCTATGAAGGCCAGAACGGCACACGAGGGGGTGGGTGGTCAGCACACCACGCCCGGCCGCCTTTGTCTCCCCAGTGGCGATGTTTACACACCGCACCAGGTACTCATTTGAGGCTGAGTTGACCTAGGGGAGGCCCAGGATCGGTTCAGATAATCGTCACTTATTTTGGCCGTGAGCAAGAATCGAACTCGGGTCGCCAGGTTCGTAGCGCAGCACACTAACCGTAACACTACCGCTCCCCATTTCTCACCATAAGTGTCCCATATATAACCATATACAGCCATCACTGTGTCCATGTGAATTCATATTGAGGCATTCGATCCTCTTTGCAATTCAGTACTGGGAGTTTATGTGTAATGCATGAATTGCTGTGGTCTCTATAGTTTTAATTTATGTAACTAGCTTTTTTGCCCGTCCAAGGACGGGTGTATATTGCAGTAAATCTGAAATATTCAATATAAAAATTGTTCAGCTCATGATTATTAATGAGGGGGGGGGGGGGTTTGCCCCATGTGGAGTGACGTCACCCGCTAATGGTTATTGTGGAGGGGTGCGGCATGTGGAGTGACGTCACCCCCTCATGGTTATTGTGGAGGGGTGCGGCATGTGGAGTGACGTCACCCGCTCATGGTTATTGTGGAGGGGTGCGGCATGTGGAGTGACGTCACCCGCTCATGGTTATTGTGGAGGGGTGCGGCATGTGGAGTGACGTCACCCCCTCATGGTTATTGTGGAGGGGGGCCTCTTTTGCTGTGACGTCACGCACGGATGTAGCACTGTGTTGCGTAGATGTATTTTTGACCGTCGCTTTCTGTTAAGTAACGTCCTATTTGAAGCGACTTTGCATAATAAATTATTTAATTCAGCTCGACCTTCCTCTGCGTTAGTGTGAAAAATCCCCCACTCATGAATATTAATGAGGGGGGTGGGCCTCATGTGGAGTGACGTCACGCGGGGGGGGGCCTCGTGGAGGTGACGTCACGTGCGGGACGGACAGACATTTCTGGATGATTATTGTAGGTAATACAGCCCTTGCATTGCAATGCATCCAACACTGTTGGTAGGATTGCTGAGTAGTCTAAGCCTTGTACATGAGCGTTATAGATATACACAAAAACAACAACACAGTAGCCTGCCTTAACCCTATGCAGTGTCCTGCACCGTACACAAAATAGTCTGTCAAACATTAACAGGAAAACACTCGGTTCTACGTGCAGAGGACAAAAGTTAAATCCATCAAAGGTGACCAGAGTATAAGGTTGAAAGGAAAAAGAAATACCCAAATAAATGCATGCGAAAAAAATATATAAAATGTCAAGAGGCAATATACAGTTTAACAAGTAAAGAAAGACATTGAATTCTGGGTGAGCCACAGCTATCGGCAGACAAAACAAAGTAGAATGTCATTGTACAGATAACACGGACACACATCGCTCTTTCTCAAACGACTCCCAATTATTCTCGAATTGTAAACTCGAATCGATCACCATCACATCAGTAATGAGCCTGTTTTGATTGAGCTCAAGCAAATCCAATTGAAGAAGAAGACGAGAAAAAAAATCCCTCCCCATGTTTTAATTCCCGCGAACAAAGGGGAGATTTACGCGAGAAATTAAGACCGCTGAAAGTTGTTATTTCAAAGGAGTAATTTTCAAATTCGTGAGATGACAATCATAGTACTCTAAACGACCTTCATGTTTTCCAGAAATGAATTAAGCCCCAGCAATTATGTCTTTGTTTGAAATTTTTTTTTTACAAAGGCTGCTTGAGCAGCACAGATGTCGGTTGGATTCAATTCATACAAGAACACAATAGGTATTTCATGTCAGAGACCGCATATAATGTGCTGACAGATCTTCAAAGAATATATTTTTTCACTTTTCATTTCGAAGGCAGGTGTTCTAGTAACTTTTGGATTGGGAAAAAAACTTTCTATCAAAAATTACATTTCTTTTTTGTATTTTAATAAAATAGAATGCTGTTCCTTTCCCAAACATACTCTTTTATTGACACAGTACTGAAGGCAGCATTTCACTTTGTTACAAGTTATTATTCAATCTATAGTTAGTTAAATTGACAATTCAAGGAGCTGTTGATTTTATTGTAGTAATGGTCATCACAGTCTTTTATAAAACTTCGCACGAGTGATGATATGGCATTTGCAACAGTGCACAAGCACGAACACGCAATACATTCATCAATGGCACCACCGCATGAAGAATGGCCATTTCCCAAAACGCCGTCGATTCTGCATTTCCTTTGATTTTCCTTTCCTCTTCAGTGCAAAATAATTGACGAACACTTTGATTTCCCGATTTATGTAAGTTTCACACGATATTCTAGTAATATTGCACAACAATGGGAAGGTTTTTTTTTTACGATCGCCGTAGATGGCGGAAAAAAAGAAACAAAAGGTGAAACCATGAGGGGTTTACCTGCACAAAGACGTAGTGGTTCTCAACGAGAAGCGAGTTCTGGTCGATGGCTCCAGGAAAGGGCGAGAAGAGGGCCGCGTCGGTGCAGTTTGAAATGGGACAAGTCACGTAGTAAAATTCTGAAAGCACAACAACAGGAGCAATATGCGAATTCTCTCGTTTTCACAGAGCAATCCACCCGGCACATGATGATGATATCTCTGCGAAGTGAACAGATTTTCAATGGCATGAATAACACATGCCATTTATGGCACAGATATTATGGCAATTTAACACTGAAGTACTTTTATAATCTGCAGTGTACATGAATTAATGTGTGTCTCACTTAACCTTCAGGATGCAATTAGAATATCTATGTATGTTGAACTTCTTTTGCGCTGTACGCAGCCAACCGTGCTAATCGGACGTTCAGTATGTTGTGGAAATGACTCAGAGCATATCTGCAATGGTGCATTAGTGATGCTGATAATGCTTAAGGAATGGAAATGCTCAGTAACAAATGCCTCTTAGAGGCCAAACCAAAGCAATTGAAAGCCAGAACCTGCAGCACAATAACCGTTCCGTTTTTTAACGAATGATGCAAAATTAATTTTAGTAAATGGACAATGCCATGCATTTTGCAGCAGAATGTTTGATTCTGATACGTTTCTCTGACTCGATATTCAATAGATGCTATTGATGGTAGAGCACTGTGCTGCTTTAATAATGAAACAATTAATTAACAGATGGAGCTTGACAGAATCGGAGAAGTATTCGCAGGCTGTGTCTTTTCGTTGCTAGTTTTTAATTTGAAACAACAACAACACATAAAAACCCACAAGGGCCACACTGTGGGAAGCTGAGGTGACACACAATGGCAGAGGCCTCTCGTAATTTTGTGGGACTCTCATTGCAGCGCTGCAGGTGACGCTGCACCTGCGCTTAACTCCCTTGACAAACAAACACGGCCCCACAAGTAACTTCTCTGACCGTGTCCAACATTTACAATGAGAAGGATTTGAAAATACTGCACGAATGAGATTATTATTCTTGGTTCTTTCGGTAAAGTCACGTAGAATGGAAATAAAAAAATAAAAAAAATGAAACTATTAAATTCTCACGACCTTTCGATTGCAACACAAGCAATCATTATCAGGTGTGAAAACCACAGCAAGAAAATTTGAAAAAAGTGGCGTTTTTTTCTTAATATTAGCACCACCGCCACTTTTTTCAAATTTTCTTGCTGTGGTTTTCACACCTGATGATGATTGCTTGTGTTGCAATCGAAACGTCGTGATAATTTTATTGTTTTATTAATATTATTTAATTATTTCCCTTTTCTACGCGACTTTACCGAAAGAACCAAGAATATGAATCCCTGCAGTCGAAATTCCCTGCAAATCGAAATTGAATGAGATTGTGTTTATTTTGTACCTCATAGTTACGCTATCCTCCGGTATGGTTTTGCCGATATTGTTGCTGGTACATTTTGTCAGAAAGTACGACAAATATACCAGATAATAATGCCCTCGCAGCTCAAGATTTGTTTTCTGAGAGTGATAGCAAGCACGCCATTCCTAACGTATGAGCAACAATATCCACCTACCACCATCTGCGCCTTGTACCTCCATGTGCACGAGCTCATGATCCTTGTCGATATCAGGAACAGCCCTGCGAGCCGACGAAATGAGAGGAATACAACCTCCATATTTACATTGACATATCTGTTCAAAGCACAGCAATAAACATGTTATGATAAATGTGCACGATTTTTCTTACCAGTAATATCGGCCATCTGACACCCGTTCTTGCAACAAATGCCAGTCTCTTCCGAGTTCCATTGACACGTACAGCTGGATTGTTTATAAAAGGCAAGAAAAGGTTTCAGAGCCAATAGTACAAATGCTGTGGTGTACATATTACTAGCTACCGATGACACCTAGAAATAAATATCAATTCTACTGAAACATGAACGGAATATATAATCGCTCACAATTCTTTGTTTTAGTGTTCTATCTCATGGGATGTAATCGAGCATGTGATGAAAGTGGCAATAGTCTGAATATGAGTGGATTTACAGTGGAGTAACTCAACTGGACAATCTAGATTTTACAGCTAAAATATACTCCACTCAGTCTTTTCAAATATGAATGATATTAGTACAACTATAAAGGGAATTGTAACATAAAATGAAAAATGTTTCACCAACTTAATGTTGGTTTGTCTTATTTATATCTTTGTGCAAGCACTTCAGGTTCATGAACAGTGAGCCTGGTGAAATTTGGGACGCATCGTCAGTGTACCTTGGTCCTAGGTTTCGCCTTCATACTATACACCCTCCCAAAGCGGCCAGCGACAGGTGATCAATCCTACGCTTGCGTCCCATTCCCAATTATAGGAGTTGCCTTGTTTGATAGCCAACATCCCATGGACTATGCATGGCAGGGCGTCCTCTCCTGAGTCAAGCATTGTTGACTGCATACCTCCTGGCCCTCACTTGGGGCCAGCTGGGTCTTCCTCTTATCCAGAGCCACTGACTGCTGCCTTTGCGCTCGATACAGCTTGATTGCGAACGCTGGCTCTGGCCTTAATTCCCAGGTCTAAGCGTCTTTGTAGATGTTGCCACAAAACCTCTGCAGCCACTCCATGGCGGACTTCTGTGTTCCAGCATGATGCCGTGCTCAGCAGCTAGATCGGCATAGCGCAGATGTTTCGCTCATAAGCCTCATCTACTAGGGTACTGGAGCTCAATGATGAAACCTTCTGACGAACGGGACAGAGCACATTCAGGTCTTAGGGTGGTGCGACTCCGAGAACACAAGGGCAGCGCTGCATTTCATCGCCCAGCAGCTGTCGCTTATTGTAGAGCGTCTTTGGTGACCTTCCGACAAAGGGGGACTTGCAAAATATATGATTATATACATGACTATGCATTGATTATGTATAGAAACAGAATGCGCCATGACAGCATGGTGAATAGATCACTGCAATTTTTACTTGAACAGCTCAGTGACCACGAAGGTAACGGTACAGCTCTGCAATTTCTCACTCACACCACTGCTGGTGGAAAGGGCCTCTGCTAGAGGGAGCTCGAGGTGCAGCCCCTCTAGAGGCTATTTTGGCCTACTCTTCCACGTTCCCTAAAGCGAATGAGTGTGCCCCAACTTTGCCCGCCGCAGTATGTGACCTGTCCATCGAATAACTATGTGCTCACAGTGGCAGTTAGACGTGTGACTGCAGCACCCACAGACCTTTCCATCCTGGCTGTAGGCCAGCAACCAGTCTTCCATGTGCGGGTGGAAGAGGAGGCTCTGCAGGCTGAAGGTCACTCGTGTCCTCTGAAAGCTGGCCCCTTCATCCAGGCTCACGTGTAGGCTCCTCTCCACGTGGGGTTCGTTCACCAGTATGATCTGCAAGAGAGGAGCGACACACATGTTGTCTTAAACCTAAGCCCCAAGGGCCAATTTTTTTTTATCACAGATGTACAAGCGTTTAAAATGTAACCGCGGCATTCAAATGGATCCACATGGTCTGCCTCCAAGTGTGTACAGAAAACATACACGCACACACTGATTGTGACATGTGCGCCCATGCATCTATATACAAACTATTGTGACTGGAAGCATTAGCATTATTCTGTCTGTATGTCGAACTTCTTTCGCACCATATGTAGCCAACCGGAGGTGCGGGGGAAGGACAACAAACTGAACACAAAAAGTAGTTCTATAGAATTTAATTATCAATCGATATTTAAAAGTGTATAGCTCCGGTGGCTTCCTAATATCGGAAGGAAGAGCATTCCAGACGGCCGAAAAAGCGCGTCTGGAAGCTCGCAATGCTAGCCAAAAGCAGCTGCGAGGATGACCGGAGCCATATTTCATGACGCTGGATAGTACAGGTCGCTGGAAAATATTCATTACAGTTTTTAAAATGTACACTGTATGATTGTAAATTGTAAATTTGTTTATATACATTTATTATTCATTATTGCTTTCATTATTTGTTGTTCAATGTTCGTATATTGATATAAAATTTTAATACGTTAGATGTTGTAACAATTACTTTGCATGTTTATTGTAGCACTCTGTTATCCACGTTTCCTTAAATGAAGAGAGTTTGATTTAATTGTAATCTCCGCTTAAATAAAGAAATAACAGCATATGATGCATATTTCTCCCTATTGTATATATTACATTTACTCTACTTAGCCAGTTAAGAGCTCATTGAAATTCATGAACTTCATTTCAATAGAACTGTGGCCAACTTTAACTTCATTGTGAGAGTTATTGATTTATGTTGCTATATTTGCGGGAAAGTTAATATTTTGTAACTGAGGCTTTGCCATCAGCACACAATGACCTACTTTTCCAGTCAATACCTCACGGTGTCGACCATCCAACAGTAATTATTACAGCAGCAGGACCCTAACCATTAAATCAATACAAATTCGCTCAACGGTGAAACACACTGACCACTAGCCTAACCAGCTGCTCTCACCCAGCAGAATCACAACAACAACAATAATGCGTTTGTTTATCCAAGAAAGACTCACTGAGTCTTAACTTTTTTATGAGGGTCCTGCATTGACATGTTTGACCCATTTGATATTTTTATGTGTTTGTCATTTGTGAAGAAAACCTGAGTTCCAGAATAAAATCCATCCATACTCGGCTGTAACACGCAAGGCTCAGCACAGAATGATTTAAGAATCCATGTGCTGTATTGCCATCTCCTGACCACCGTCAAAGCCCAGTGCATGTGTGATATTCCAATCCTCCCCTCCAAAGCATTGCCTCAACGCCTGTCTCATTTACTCAATAGGCAAATTTATTTTTAACTGACTATCTATATACAAACGAACAAAACTATCCACATTCACTACCAACACTGCCTCCCAACAGAATAATGTATTATAGGCTGATGTTTCAGGCAATGGTCCTTTAGCACATCACATTCTGTGCTCTGCAGAAGGGCAATTGCCTGAAATGTCAGCCTCCTGACTATCTTTGGTTTGCACTTGCTCATGCTGGCAATTCTCACATATATATTTCTACGTAGAGTATATTCTATGTTCTCTATATGATTCGGTGACGCAGTCGTTAGCGCACTGCACTAGGAACCAAGTGTCCTGAGTTCGATTCCCAACCATGCCTAACATCAGTGACGAGTGATATCTAAACTGGTCCTGGGCACCCCCTTCACGAACCCACACTGGCCAGCATGGTGATGCATGGCCAATACATCCCTATAACCTGTACTACATGAGAAGGCCTGTGCGCAGCAGTGGGTTGACATAGGGCTTCAACTTATGGGTATTATATAATCACAACTTCGCAAGTGGAAATAATCTATGAGTAAAGCACTTGGAAGATAAATACTGCTGTAATTGCCAACAACGCTCCGGCAGACAAATGGCACGCAAATGCAGAGGCACAGACAAAGGGACACATATATCCATAAATCAATGCAGGCTTGCAAAGGGCTTGGAGTGCACATAGACAAAACCGCGGACAAAAGAAATAATGCTATATCTGTGAGAAAGACTAATTTGGGTGACTCTCCGTATCTAAAGAGGTTGGAGATTCTAATTAATGAGAGCGTCAGCAGAACTGCTGCAAGTGGCATTAATCAATGCTTCCAAAATCCGCCTTCGAGCATTGTTTTACATCTCGACTGGTGCTGGGGACCTGAGCACGCAGCTCTAACAAGGCGCACCATTTGCATTTTCATTAATTTTGTTCAACTGACAACGTCGAAGCATGGGAACCATGCGACCTTCCAGGGCGTTTTACTTCAAATGCTGAAAGGTTTTTTTTTTTTAAAGAAAAAGGATACACTGAAATGTCCATAAAGATAAATCATTAAACCAAAATAAAAACATTTTAAAAAATTAGGTTATGACTCAAATGAACCTTTGCAATATAAGACATTATTGTAAACATTATATGGAATAAGTAAAAAGAAACTAGGCGAAATTTGTAATGGCAAATGTTATGACTTGTAATAAAAAGGGACCAATGAACGATTAAAATGTTTTGAATTAAGTAAAAAAACATTACAAAATCCAAAATAAATCTACATGATTCAATTCATGATGCAATATGGCTCATTTCTTTGCAGCCATTCCAAATCCACTAATGGATGAGGGCCTCCTCATGTGATGGGGTGTTTTTTTGCACCATACTTCACCATGATGGTCAGTGCAGGTTGGTCAAGGGGTGGGACTGGTTTCAACATCGCTTTCCACTTATGTTAGCCATGGCCAGGAACCAAACTCACCGGGTTCATACTGCAGTATACTAACCACTCTACCACCGCTCCCAAATATTGGTGTATGAGCATCAACGACATTTCAGGAAAACCTACTAATGCAGTGGTGCTCAACACCAGATAATTGGTATGGCATGGAGCATTGACAGATGCAGTCTGCTCTATATTTGTTCATGCCTTTTGTCAGCCGAACCACTCATTCTCACCAAATTCACTTTTAGGGAGAAACCAATTTTATGCTAACAATTGATATTAACTTTAGAACGTTAATGAAGCTTCCAGCTGCCTAAACAAGGTCTGACAAGCTAAACGTCAGCCAGTTATTCAAATGCATGAGGCAATTAGATAATGTGGAGTAATTTTGTTTCTGACATTGGAATTTTAGAGAAAATGTGGTAGACATCAAATGTTGTTTGATATTCAGTTATAAGAAAAATCAAAGACAAATTTTAATAATGCAGTCAATATAATTTGAAGCAAAGAAAATATTAGTAAATGCTCCATAGATCAATTCTATGAACATCCAGGAGGAATCGCTATATATCCTTTGGCACAACACTAACAAAACATCGTTGAGTAATGTTTCTGCAGTCTAATTAAGGTATATGAAAAATGCTTTTTTGTTTATTCCTTAGACCGCTTCTGGACAGCTAAAATGCAGAAAGTAAGTTTCTTACTTTTAGTTGTCATGTTCTTAAAGTTTGTTACATAACAGAAATTACGGTGAAAATCATAATATATTAGTAATAATGCATTTTTCAATCGTATGATAGAAAACTACAAATACATTTTTTATTATTATTTGATTTTGTTAAGATAGCTCTATAACATAAGCATGAAGGTAATCACATAAATAAATCATACGTGATTTAATAACTCATAATGTGACAATTTCCTTATTATATATATTAAAGAGTTTTTTCAATCCCATGTTTGAAAAAAAATAAAGATTACTTCTTGCGAAATGATCCTGTTATATCCAATCTAAAATGTGTGATGTTTTGTATAAAATGCTCAACACATGAACAACACATCTTCAAGAATGTCAGTGGTGTATGGTACTTGCTAGCAAGGCACATTTAAAAGAAATTGCATTAAAATAGAATGACCCAAAGGACATTAACCTGTCACATGCAGCATACACAACCTCTGCTTTGAACAAATCGTAATGGAAAATTTTCCTCTGAATGCAAATAAGCTGTCACTGTATTCACACTTTACAAAAGCTGCTATTTTGGACGGGAGTTACGAAAAAATAACCACAGGACTCATTTGCTGCTTTCCTCAAGGGGTGATGCATTGAAAAATCAATTACACATTAATGACCTCTCCTGAGGAAACCACTGCTCAAAGCTTGTGAAGATTTTTTTTTACCTCATTGTCCACAGCCTGAATTTTAATACTTCTTTGTAATTTTTCAACGCAAGGTGTTAGCGATATGTGTGTGGAGTTGCAGCGGAGTGGTTAGCGCACTGTGCTACAAGCGCGCCTCTGTGAGTTCGATTCCCAGCCTGACTTACATCAGTGGCGAGTGACTTGTGAACCATTACTGGGCCACCGCTCTCCCCTGCTTCACCAACCCCACGTTGACCAGTTTTGAAAAGTATGGCCAAACAATGCCCATGACTAACAGAGCATGGGAGGACCATCTATTGGCAAATATCTTTAAGTTATCAAATATTATTATTTGTAATATACAGTATCGTGTGGTAATTGTTATTGATGTTTCATGACAAAACTACATACTAATGTCTGGTAAAATGTATAAATAGGGCCTTCAACAATGTTGTCCGAGAACCAAATAAATTATTAAAAAATACGTTAAAAATAATACGTTCTTACAATATAACATTTTCACACATATCTTGTCGACATTTCACGAGGCCAACTAGAAACAATGATGAAAATGATAAAGCACAGATACATTAAAAAATAGTATCGATCTTGTAATGGCAATCATAACTGAATATTAAAAATATATTATTCAAGGTTGTCTAATTTATTTCCTCAACTCAAGTAATTTATTTTCCCGAGGTAAAAGCACTCTTTGTATTCAGTTTCGCACCAAAAAATCGTCTCCCTCTTATTCGTATTTTTTCCCTTGAGAAAGTAAGGCTGAAGGTTCTGCGTAAATGTTTTT